CATTATGGATATGGTTGGTCGGTTATGTCTGTCTGGAAGTGAGGCACGGTATAAGATTCTCATATATCGAGCAGAGTCATTGGAATTTCTATTGGTTGGATAAGTGTGGTGTGATAATGTTCATTGTTTCATCCGGACGTGTGATTTCTTCTAACAATGGATCCAACAGCTGTATTGGAAGGTGGTCATTTGTGCATGATGATTTCTCAGTTCTATTTTAGATTCGGGGTGTTCAGGCGGAAACAGTTGGTGTAGTGGAGAAAGTTGTAAGGAATGATTCCGAGGATGAAATCTAATTTAAGCGGGGGAAAGTTGTAACACCTATTTTCCATATTGGTTCAAGTTAAGACTTAAGGGATTAAAGATGGAGTTTTTGGGAAAAACTGCATGCCACGACGTGGTGCTTGGACACCCACGGCGTGCATAACTTATATGGAACGCGTGCATCTGATGAGTGCCACGACTTGGCAGATATTCTGGCCCAAGCCCAAAAGTTTTAGGGTTCCTCTCATATCTAAGCCCATAATCTCGGAATTGAGGTTCATTTCTCAGCCTTCATCACTCTCAAACCCAGGAAACCTTAAACCCTAGCCTCCCATTGAAGTTCTTGACTCTTTTTTGATGATTTTGTGACCTTGGAAGGAAGAAGAAGGATCTTTTGAGCAAAGATCAAACAAGCTACCTATCCATACTCCTTGTGTGCATCTTATGGATCAATTGTGAGCTCCCAAGTTCTCATCTTGATAATATCATCCTCATAGATCTTAGTTATTTGTCATGTTTTGGTCCATAATTAAGTTTTGTTTGGATGAAAGAGATAAAGTTTGCAACTTTATGACTTTCTTGGGTTCCTTGGTCATTATATCTTTTGGATCTAGAAGTTGATGTAGTTTTGGTTGCCATGCTTGAGTTTTAGGTCACTTATCTCTCTTTATAAACTAGTTTGGAGAAGGACATGCATGTGTCATGCATGTTCATAAAGTTGGGATTTTTATGGACCTTCTAGGTCCCAGGACCCTTACTGGAAAGTTTAGGCAAAAAGCCTTTCATATTAAGGACTTAAGCCATTAAGATTTATCCAAATGTGATAGACACGATGTGGCGAGGGGAAAATCCGCGACTGAGCTCCTTTGTCCCTGCCATGGCGTGGTGGCATGTCTTACACGGTGTGGTGTTTGTTTTGATCGCGACTATGATAGGCGGCCATTGTGTGGTCATGGGTTGGCCACAACATGGAGGCCAACTGGCATTGACTTTGACCATTGACCTTGACTGTTGACTTGTGTTGACTTTTGATCAAATTGCTAGTTTGGTAGGTGAACTAAGGTTTCATCTTGTATGGTTGATTAGGTGGTGTTTAGCACCTATTCCTCGACTGTGTGAGAGTTGTTGGATTTTGACTACATTTACGAGGTAAGTCTTTTCACTATACTATGTAGGGTGCTAGTTTTCTTTGTGATACTTGCATGGAAGACCCTGAGGGTAACCCGTGGCATTTGTATGAAAAATCATGGGGATAGCCCATGCCAATTGCATGAAAGACCATGGGTTGGGGTAGCTCGTGACATTTGTATGAAAAGTCATGGGGGTAGCCCATGACAATTTCATGAATGACCATGGGGGTAGCCCATGACACTTAGATGTTAGACCATGGGGGTAGCTCATAGCATTTCAAGGAAAGACTATGGGGGTAACCCATAACACTTAGATGGTAGACCATAAGGGTAGCCCATGACACTTAGATGTTAGACCATGGGGGTAGCCCATAGCATTTCAAGGAAAGACTATGGGGGTAGCCCATGACACTTAGATTTTAGACCATAGGGGTAGCCCATGACATTCAAGGAAAGACCATGAGGGTAGCCTATGATATTTTGGGGGAAAGACCATGGGGTAGACCATGGCAATTGCGTGTATGTATGTGGCATTTTGGGGAACTCACTAAGCTTTGTGCTTACGGTTTATGTTTAACTGTTTTTCAGGTACTTCCAGTTCCAAAGGAAAGGGTCTGACTTGACTGCACAATATTTCCCCCTGATGATTTTCCGCATTGATGATTGTTATTGTACTCTGATGATTATGATACATTTGTACTATGATGGGTTTTTGGGAAAAATACCATGTGAATTAATAATCTAAAAATGAAAACTTTTATGTTTGTATTTAGGATGTTACACAAAGTCTTGGGCTATGAGATTGATTTATATTCATGTCTCATGTGCATATGATATCTTGTAGAACAAAAGAATAGTTGGTCACTTATCTTATGTCCAAAGTTTGATATGATTCAGAGTTCGACAATGGATTTAGAAAGCACGCTTTGCTGGTTATTCAAAGTCTATACTTGCCACTGTAGTTGATGACTTATCCAAGTGGGAGACGGTTGAATTAAGGTATCTAAAGTCTTAACTAAATTGGTGTAATCTTATAAATAAAAACAAAGTCATTTTTGGGTTGCCCTCAATAACTAGAAATAGCTAAAAAAATGACTTTAATTAGAAATTGTTAGAATTAATTAATTATTAATCAAAATTAATCTGGAATTAATTTTGGATTAATTGGAAGCAATTAAAGGTGCAAGGGTTGAATTGTAATTATTCATAATTGAGCAAAGAAAGAGAATTACATAACCATCCATGGTATGGACGGTTTTGAGATAGTTTCTAGGGTTTCTCGAAGCATGTTATAGCTGATAAGTATAACTGCCTATAATATTTTAAAGAGAAATTAAATATCCTCCTACTTTTTGTTCCTACAAATCCTCCTACCCAATGAAATGGTAACATGTGTAACATTTAATGCTTATTTAATGAGATTTAATGATATTTTAGGATACTAATATGACACATGTCATCATTTAAATGAGTAGGAGGATTGGTAGGATTAAAAGGTAGGAGGATATTTAATTTCTCTATTTTAAATATGATATTTAAATATTCAAATCAGGGTTCTTGAGATCCTCTAGCTATAAAAGCTTCTTAGCCTCCAAATTCGTAGTTAACAATTCCAAGAAGGAGAAATATGAATTTCTCTTCTTACCTCCTCTATCCTCTTAATTGCTAGTATTCTAGGGTTTTTGGTGTGAAATATTAGAAACATCCACACTATTGGTTTTTGTTTTCCAAAAAAGATTGAAAGAGAATTGTTTGCATTATTCGATTTTTGCAATAGGGATGTAATCTAACTTTGTATTTTTTTCAATTTACATAGGTTAAAAATTTGTTTCATAAGTATGTTGTTTGAGAAAATGACATAGACTTTTAGATTACATGTACCCGTAATATGATTATAAGTTTACTGCATAAATATTTTTTTCAAACCTAAAAAACTTTATAACACCATTCTCTTTAGAGCTATAACAATCACTCTTTTTGATTCAAACACATCTTTTTTCTAATACACGTAACCGATAGAATAAAGCTCCTTTACTAGGCAATATTTAATTGTTCTATATTAAAAGCAATATAAAACAAATACTTAAAATAAAAGAATTTCAAAAAATTTCGAGCCACCAGTTTAATGATTTTTGTCATGCCACTCCACGACAAGACACGAAAGCAACTTGTAGTTAGTCTACCTTTCCCATGTCCGCCGTGTACCTAAATCACATATACTTCTTCATTTTCACTTTCAAAATTATATATATATATATATATATATATATATATATATATATATATATATATATATATATATATATATATATATGACGATTCACTTGAGATTAAAAAAAAGTAGAGATCTTGAGATCCAACCTCAGCCATATATTTCTCATTTACCGCTCTAACGATCCAACGTACCGGCTACAGCAGGTTATGTCTAATCATAAATGATTATACATATATGTTTGTTCATAGACTGAGTAATCATAAATGATTATGACACGTGGTGGCAGAATAGGTGGTGGTGACAGAGGTGGCGCTGGTATAAGTCGGTGTCAGTGGTGGTGTTAGTTGGTGTCAGAGGTGGTTGTAGTGGTGGTGGCAGTGTCGGTTGTGGTGGTGGGGATGGTGGTGGAAGAGAAAGGAATGAGCGACGCTATATAATCATTTATGATCATATCAGGGTTGTCGTGCCGGTAGGCCGGAGGGTTAAAACAGCAGATATAAATATGTGGTTGAGATTGAATCTCAAAATCTCTATTTTATTTTTAATCTCAATGGAACCCACCTTTATTTATATATATATATATATATATATATATATATAATATATATATATATATATATATTTGTTGGGCAAAAAAAAGTTTTTTGCCACATATTCTAGAGTCCAAAAAATAAAACAAATAAAAAAATTACTTATTTCAAATATATGAAAACATAATAAATTATTAAAACAATCATGGTTCTAGTAATATATTTTAAAAGAATATTATTTATAATAAATATTATTTGTAATATTTTATTAGAATATTATTAAGATTTTTAAATTTTCCTTATTCTAATATTGTAAAAGAATATTACAAAGTATTATAATTTTATAATTAATAATATTATATTAAAATAACACACGAATCTCTTGTATTGCTAAACTACCAAAAGCAAATAGCAATAGCCTCTTACATTCTTTTATTTAGGAAAAATGACTTAGGAAGGTAACTAACTATATGGTATGTTCACAAATAGCAATAGCCTCTTACATTCTTTTATTTAGGAAAAATGACTTAGGAAGGTAACTAACTATTTGGTATGTTCACATCTAGGTAATATTTGTTTTTTTATACTCATTTATGTAACTAACTTGTTTCATAAGTTCAAAAATACCTATTATTACCGGCAAACACAAGTTTTTGCCGGTTACATCGATTTAGGTCAATTAAAATGTATTACGTGGATTCTTACGTGGCTATTATACTCCCTCCTCAATTAATTAGGGTTCGTCTACTCCAAAAACACTTCAATTAACAGTTTGGGAGAAATCGATACAACAAATCGAAGGTGAATTTGAAGATTCGAGTTGAAGTCGACTGTACCATGGCATCCCAATAATCTACAGGTATGTATGCTCCTGCAGATTTTCATTACAAGAGGGTATTTGCGCCAAAGTCGTTGGTATACTTGGACCAGGTAAAAAAAACTGTTCGCGATGTGGATTTTGGTGGATTTACATATAAAGAATTTCTTCTGTGGCTTACGAAATTAACCGAAGGAGACTATGATAATGTCTACTACTGTAATAGAAAGGAATGCTTGGCTGAGGGTATAAGAAGAATCGACAGTGATGCTGATTATTGGGAGTTTGTAGAAGTTGTTTATAGTGATGCGGAGTTGGATGTGTACATTGATCACCAAAATGAACCAATTCTTGATTGGGCTAATAACGAGGTTTTAGCAGATGATATAAGTGATGATAATGAGTATAACTTTGATGAAGAAGATGACAAGGACTCAGAAATTTTTGATACAACGAAATATGAACATGAACGTGATGAAGAGGTTTATACTTTTGACAAAATCGTTGGGGACAAATTGTTGAACAAACTTTCAGGTAATATAAGTGATGGTGATGAAGCCAACAATGGAAAAGATATGGATGTTGTGTTCCTTGTCCATGATGAGAACCAAGAATGGGATCAAATGGTACCAGTTGCACGTATGAAGTTTTCTAACCCATTAGAATTGAAACTATGTCTTACCAACTATGCAGTCAAGAATGGGTACGATTTATAGTATGAAAAAAGTGATAATCAGAGGTTATTGGTAAAATGTTGTAAAGGTAAGAAGAATAAGAGGAATAAAGGTTGTCCCTTTAGGTTGTGGGCTACATGGATGTCATTTGAAAAGTCATTCAAGATTAAATCATTAAATGATAGCCATAATTTCTCAAGAGTCTTTCAATCTGGGTCCATTGTTACCTATAAATGGATAGGAACTCATTTCATGCGATATATACTACACAAACCAAAGATGAGTATAAGGAAATTGAAAGCTGAAGTCAGCAAGAAATTTAATTTGATTGCAAGTGCTGGACAGTGCAGAAGTGCTAAGAAGTATGCATTTCAGGAGATAGAGGGTTCTTTAAAAGAACATTATGCCAAAACATGGAGCTATGGGGAAGAAATAAAAAGGACTAACCCTGGATCAACAGTGAAGATGGATGTAGATGTCATGCCTGATGGAACCACTTACTTCTCAAAGTTTTATGTTTGTTTAAAGGGTTTGAAGGATGGGTGGATTGAGGGTTGTAGGAGGGTAATTTGACTAGATGGTTTCTTCTTAAAGGGCATATGTAGAGAGTAGTTACTTTTTGTTGTAGGTAGAGATGCAAACAACCATATATACCCAATTGTTTGGGCTGTGGTTGCAGTGGGAAGTAAAGAAACATGGAAGTGGTTTATTGACCTTTTTATTGATGACCTTGGAATGGGAGTTGGGCATGGACTAACCCTAATATCAGACCAACACAAAGTAGTCAATTTATGTTCTCTCTATCTTAGTACTACTTAATTTATTTAAGCTTATGTTTTTTGTCTAATGCTAACAGGGGTTACTTGAGGCTGTGAAAGAAATGGTTCCAACAACAGAGCATAGGCAATGTGCTAGGCACATATGTGCTAACTTCATGAAAAGATTTAAGGGCCAATAGTTTATGAAGCTTTTCTAGTATGCTGCTGCAGCTACTACCCAGGCAAAATTTGAGCAACATATGAATGAAATCAAGAAATTAGAACCTCTAGCCTATGATCATCTGATGGAAAGGGACCCTAAAACTTGGAGTATAGCATTTTTTCAGAATGATAGGGCTTGTGATTCATATGAAAATGGTGTATCTGAGAGTTGTAACTCAGTCACTGAAGCTGCCAGGAAGAGGCCACTAATGACCATGTTAGAAGAAATTCGAATTTATGTGATGGAGAGGCATTGTAAACTGAAGAGAAAGGGACGATCTTGGGATTTAACCATATTTCCTTCTATTAGACTGAAGTTATCCAAGCTTAAGGAACATCAAACGTAAGTGGTTTAATATATATGTCCTTCTATATGTATGTCCTTATATATATATATATATATATATATATATATATATATATATATATATATATATATATATATATATGCCATTCATTATGTGTATGTGGACAGATTTTGGAAAGTTGTACCATCTGGCTATCAACAATTTGAAGTGAGGCTTGGGTATGATGCATATGTTGTAGACCTTGGTAGCAGGACATGTGCATGTAAAGGTTGGAAGTTAACTGGATACCCTTATATGCATGCATATGCTTGCATTTCAAGCCTCAACAAGGATGCAGATGACTATGTCTCACCATGGTTTACCACCACAATGTTCTTAAGTTGTTATAGGTATACCATTAAGCCACTCAATGCTAGTGACATGTCGCCTCATGTAGATTACATCAAGTCATTGCCACCCAAAAGGAGAAAGCTACCAGGAAGACCATCAACAAAAAAAAAGGATCAGATTGAGAGGGAAAACCAGGGAAGAAAACATTCAACCACAAAAAGAGGCTCGGTGGTGAGATCTGATAGATGTAGAGAAACAAGGCATAATAGAACCACATGTCCTCAAAAACCAACTGAGGAATCATCAAATCCACCATCACAGAAAAAGAAAGCCAAAAAACATGGTATGTGTGGCATAACTTAACATATGTGAAGTTGAATTAACTTTTCAAGTCTTGCAAAACAGGTAAACTGAAGGGTAAATTGGAGCATGAAGTTGAAATGGAAAGTGACATTGAAGTTGAAATGGAACCTGATAGTGAAGTGGATTCTTTTGAAGGTGAATTTGAAGATGATATACAACTTGAAGGTGAAGATGATATAGAAGTAGAAGCTGAAGTCCCAGTTCAAGTTCAACCTGAAGTGCAAGCTGAAGTAGAAGATGAAGTGGAAGCTGAAGTGCCAGTTCAAGTTCAAGATTAAGTAGAAGCTGAAGGGCCAGTTCAAGGTCAAGGTGCAGTTTAAGTACAATATGAAGTACCAGCATTTCAAGTTGTAGTGGGACGGAGGATAAGGAAACCTTAAGAAAGAATTACAAAAATTCAAATAAGAAAGAAGTGGGAGGGGAAAAAGGGGAGCACTAGTAACAATCCATATGATTCGGATTTTGCATATTTAAGTGTGTAATGTTTAACTTTTCAAACATGTTTTGGCAGTAATGCATATTTAAATGTGTAATGTTTAACTTTAGCACATCTTTTGTAACAAACTTGTTCCATGGAATCTTTTACCATCTATTACAATATTTTATTCATGATACAGTCAAACTTTTCATTCAAAACAGTCCAATTCCATTTCATTTGTAATATTTAGAAATCCAATGATATTCCAATGTTTCATTACAATTCCATTCCAAGTCCATTCCACTTAACCAATTTTCCATACAATAAAACTTTTCATTCAAAACAGTCCCAATTCCATTCCATTTGTAATATTTAAAATTCCAAATTTTCCATTACAATATTATAATTCCATTCCACTTAACCAAAACAACATTTTCATTCAGTCATGATACATCATCATCTACATAATGCGAAAGGATCCCTAATTCAAAACAACATTTTCACATATAATAAAAACAACACAGCCAACACAACTTTATGACTAAACAATTTCCAATTAACTTTCTCCAACTCTTATCTGTTAACCAAATTGGTGTTCTTCTCTTATTCGATCTTCAACCTGCATATACTAATTTCATTCTCTAAGGTATGGAGTTTCAACCATAGATTACAGTCTTCTTCTGATTTCATCCTCTCATGGCTTATTCCATCTGTCCTCCCTTCATCCTCATCCACCCATTGCCAAACTTTACATCTTGGACTTTTTCCATTCTTCAATAAATTTTTAAAAAAGGTTAAATTGAAGGATGAAGAAGCACAAGTTAACAAAAATTCACAAAAATTGATTTACCAGTGAGTTTTGACAAACTCTAGATGGTCTTCCAGGATTGTCGAGGGTCCTTGAAATCTTCACACGAGATGGTCGTTTACAACCACATGGATGATCAGCTTGCAATACGTCTTGTCGTTTGGAAGAAGAATGAGAAGAAGAAAAAGATGAAGAAGAAGAAGCCATCAATCGATCTAAGGTTCTTTTGGATTAGTAGCCGTCGTATCCTGGACCATTTATATTGTAAATGATGACAAAAACGTACAATGCCACTTAGGTGATAAGTATTTCAATGTATTGGCCATGTAGATGCCACATCATCAAAAAATGTGTTTGCCGGTAATAATGAGTATTTGTGAACTTATGAAACAAGTTAGTTGGGTAAATGAGTACAAAAAAACAAATATTACCTAGATGTGATTATACCAAATAGTTAGTTACCTTAATAAGTCATTTTCCCTTTTATTTATACGTGCGAACTCCTTTAGGATTTGGTCCTTATATGCTTCCTCTGCCAACTGTAGTAATTTCAGTGGTGATGGTGGTGTCTGTGGTGATTGTCATTCATGTGATGATGGAGGTGTTGAGGGACTTGTGACGGGATCATGCTAAATCTGTTTATGTGGTGCCAAAAAAGGAGGTAACCTTTGGGATGATGTGAGAAACGATATACTATCATGTGATGGAAGAGGTAAATTGTCCCTCTCAATCAAGTCAAGCTATAAGACCACCACTCAACACATTGCTCCTTCGAAATCATCAGATATAACGTCTTTATGGACATTTTATTTGCCTAATTAAATATCAAATTACTAGGTAACGACATATGTTTTCCTATGATATAGTCAAAATGAAAACTATATAAACGTATTCATACATGTCGAACACAATGGTTGCCACAACAATTGGCATATGTAACCGTCTATGTATTGACCATGTAACGGGGCAAGATCATATTTTGTTTCGGTACCAAAAGGTGTGACAAAATGTAAATGTCTCAAATATCTAGATTTGTCAAATTAAGATATCACAATATTAGTAACATGATTATGCTAAAAAAATACATCAAAATAACAAATATTACCTTGAAGGCATATATAAACCCGCTAAAGGGTGTATGTGAATTTACTAAGCGGTTTCTTTTATTTATAGGAGATGAATATACTCCTCCACTTTGGAAAATAAGGTCAATAATTTCTTGTACAAGATATCCTAAACAACCATGCCCTATGTAGGGGTGGCAATCGTGTCGGGTTGGGTTGGCAAGTCATAATGCATCAACCCGTAAACGACCTGTATATTATTCGTGTCGCGGGTTGGCTGGTCACGGGTGGGTGGTTTGGAAATATCAACACGAACACGACCTATCTAACATGTTTAATTATACGGGTTCGCGGGTTCGTGTGTCTGATTCGGGTTCGAGGGTTGGTGGTTTGACCCATGAACCCGTATGTTATTTGTGTAATATCGAGGATCAATTGATTTAGGGCGCGCAATACGCATAAGCTGATAAGAGTAGTAGAATAACTTAAATCTAATATATTATACGGTGAACCACCTCCGGGGAGCTTTCTTTAAAACGATAATATCATTTCAAAAATTAAAATAATGATGATGATGGTGATGATGATGATGATGATGATGATGATGATAATAATAATAATAATAATAATAATAATAAATTATACGGGTTGACATATGAAGTTATTTACTAACCCGAACACGACTCGTTTATTTGGCGGGTTGGTGGGTCAAAAATCTCAACCCAAACCCATTTATTTTCATGCCGATTTCGTGTATTGTCACGGTTTGTG